GAGGTTAAGGAGGATGAAAAATCAAAAGGTAGTGTCGTCGCTGTCGGTGAAGGTCCGGGTATTCTTTGTTTACTTCTTAGTGTTGGTTGTGGAACTCAAAATAATAATAATTGTGACAATTCTACTCAACCTCCTCCACCTACAAATGAAAATACACCGAATGAAAATGGTAGAGCTGTCGTTGTTGGTAAAGGCGAACGTGAAGAGAAAGGTGAATTGGACATTAAGGAAATTGAGCTAAAGAGCTCTCAAAAAGAATCGGGTAGTTCAATTGGGATATTTGGAAATCTTGGAAGTCTTTTGGGTCTTGGTGGTAACAACAACAACAACAATAACAGCAATCAACCTGAAAGTTCAAGTCTAGCTCCCCAAACTTCCGAACCTTTGAATCAAATCAATAAACTACAGGAAGAAGGGGAAAACTCTCTTCCCGATGTCAATAATGCTACAACACCTGAAGTTTCTACAACAACTTCTCGTCAACCTCCAGCACCTCTAGGTGATAAACTTCAAACAGGTGAAAACTCTGTCCCTGAAGGTGATGATGCTACAAATGTTGAAACAACAACTGCGTACGTTCGAGAAGCTTTGGATTAAGAAAGAAAAAGAAAACAGTTTTTGAAGAGGGTTTTTAAATTAAAATTATGATGTAAGGGAACATTTAAATTAAATTTATTGGGCTATTTAAAGTAATTTAAAATTATATTTGAAAGATTAAAATTATATTCATTAAAAAATTTTTGATTAATTCGTAAATTAAATTATACTTTCGATAAATATTTGGGAAATAATTTAATGAAATATTTTTTATCTTCCATCTTGATAGGCAATATTTTCATTTTTTAAATTTAGGGATTTACATTTGCAAATTCTACCAATATTTTAATTTTTATTTGTTGAATTTTATTAAAATTTTATCAAGCAAGCGATATTTTTTAAAAATTGTCTTTTGGAAGCAAAGTCTCTCCTTTTTCTGAGGACTCTCCTCTTCCTGAAGACTCTCCCCTTTCAAAGGTCTCTCCTCTTTCAGAAACCCCTCCTTTTTCCGAGGATTCTCCTCTTTCTGATAATTCCCCTTTTTCCTCTCTCACCATTTCCTCCTCACTTTTTTCCATAAATATTTCATCATAATTATCTTCCTCATCTTCCATTTCTTCATCATTTTCTTCCAAATCAATTTCCAATTCTCTACAAAGCTCTTCAAAATGTTTATTATCATCAGCCCAATAAGCACTTTTAATCTCCTCAAATTTTTTTTCTAAATTCTCTTGATCAGCAATAGACTCGTTCAAATCATTATTCATTTTTTGCAATTTAGCATCATTTTTAACTAATTCTGTTTTTTTATTTATTAAATCACCCCTTTTATTTTTAATTATTTCCAAATTATTTTCATAAAATGCTTGATATTTTTCCATTTGTGTAATTAAATTAAAATGTTGAAGGAATGATTTACTCCAGTCATACCCTTTATTTATATTATTTAAGGGTTGCACTATTGAAAGTTTTATTCGTTGAATTTTATTGAATGTTTGATCCAACTCTATATCCTTGTAAATTACCTAAAATATTTTTTAAAAAAATATTAGTAAATTAAAAATTGGTACCGTATTTGCTAAAAGCATTATTCAGGGTAATTAATGTTTCAACCTCTCGCTGGAGGGGGTAATTAAAAGCAGGGGGTAATTATTTTAGCTTTTTAAAAGGCTAATTATAACTATTTTTAGGAGGGGTAATTATTTTTTCGATCTCTCTCTGTAGGGGGTAATTATTTGAGAGAAAGACATTATTTCAGCATTTACGGTAGGTAGACTAGCAGTCTTTTACTCTCCAAGAAAGAAGCTGCAAATTATAATTTTATTTTACTATCAAGGCTTGAAATACTTCAAACCTTAGTCTACAATTATTAACTTTGATTGATGAAACGAGGGGTTTGACCCTCAAAATAAAAAATTCTAATGAAAGCAGACTGAAATTCTATCTTTTCAATAAATCCCTCTTTATAACATCATACAAATTTTCTAAAAAATAAACTTTACCTTTGAAATTCCCGGCGGAGTAATTAAAATAGTTATTTTTACTTGATTTATATTATCATTATCTATTTTAGATTTCTCAATTTCTTTATTTAATTCATTATTTTTATTATATTTCATATCCAAAAGCGCATCAGCCATTTCATCCTCACTATTTTTATTACCCCAAGGAATTTTTCGGAATAAAAAAATATCAGAATATTTATCCCCCAATTTTCCCTTTACTTTTTTCTGTTGATCATCACATTTTTGTTCGCATAATTCCAATCCAAAACGATAAATAGGTTTTAGAAGCTCGAGATATTTATATTCTGAATGCTCTTTCCAATCATCTATTATTTCAATTTCTAAAACATGCTTGGACAAAATTGGAGAGAAAAATAAAAATAAATTGAAGAAAATAATTTTTATTTGGGAAGGAAAAATCATCTAAAATGAATTTTATTTAATTTTATTATATTTGATTTTGATAAAGTTATAACATAAACAACGTGCCCTATTACTTTCTGGTCAATCTGTAAGTTATTTTTTAATGACTACTTAGCAGAGGGGGTCGGAACAGAGGTGTCGGAAATGGAAGAGCAGGAAATCGGAACTGGCTCAAAAGTCGGAACTCGGAAATCAAAACTATTAGGTAAGGTTTTATAATGTAAGAAAATATTTTAAGATGAGAAAACAATTTTTGAAATTTTAACAAGTCAAATAAAATAATATTTAATTAAACTATTTTTATCGGATCCTTGCCTAGATGCTCTACTCAAATAAATAATCTGTCTATACTTCCTCCTTTATATTCTGAAATATTTTTTCCGGAAATATTATTTTAAAATGAAAATAGGTTATTTCATTAGTATTTCTTTTAAAATTTTGTTAAAAATATTTAACAAAGTTAAAATGTTTATTGCCCTTTTTTGACTAATTAATTAATTGATTTATTGCGTAATTATTGCCTTATCGTTAAAAAATTTTGAATAAATTTTAAATTTAAAAAATGGCGCACCTTGAATTCATCCTACTGGACAAAAACCCTAGATTCGTCCCATTATACAAAATCCCGAATTATTAATGAAATACTTTGTTGTTATAAACAGACTAGGACATGGATACTGATACAGATATCATAAAAATGCCTGCGGATATCCGTCTGTATCCGCCTGTATCCGACGTAAATATCCGGATAATGATACCAAAATCAGTATCCGTGTCCTAGTCTGGTTATAAACAGATTTCTGACTTAAAGGAAATTAACAATAACTTAGATTATAATAAACACAATGGCATAGATCCCAAAAGTATTTTCTCCATTTCAATTAGTAAACAAGTTTTTATCCGAATTTTTTAGCTACTGAAATATAATTAAAAATAAAATTTTCGAACATTTTTTTATTCAAAATTAGCGTGTTTATTCAAAAATGTTTATGTTTTTGACATTTATAAAATTCTTAATTGAACTTTTATTGTGTTTATTTTTTCCTATTAGAGCAAAAAGACTGCCCAAGAGTCTTTTATGAAAAAAAATATGAAAAAGGAACTAAAGGGTCGTCAAAAGATTTTTTAAATGAATGGAGGAAGGCGAGAATGGTGAGAAATTTGCGTGCTTTTAAATTCTAGTCAGTATATTTGGTCGTCTGTCAATTACGGCGTAGGACTATAAATCTTAATTTAGTATCTAAATTTAAAAAAATCTTAATTTACTTTTAAGGTAAACTTTTATAAATGCAGATTGTATGTATCAGAAATTTCTCTATTTCAATTTCTCCATTTCATAAGAAATTCCCAAAATAAGGAATTTATTTTTAAGTTGATTAAGGGGTACACCCCAACTTATCGCGAGCCGAACTTACCGCAGAGCTATAACTTTGTTCAGAATTGTCGAATCCGGGACGCCCTGGTATGGTTTGATTTAGCTCGTCGAGGCGAATTGAACCATAACAGTGCGTCCCGGGTTCGACAATTCTGAACGAAGTTATGGCTCTGCGGTAAGTTGGTCTCGCAGTAAGTTGGCCTGCTCCCTCGATTAAGATGCCTGGCATACTCGATTTGATTCAATTTTTAATGAAAAATGCCAACCACCACTTCTGGCCGAACTCTAGAATTTTCTTTTCCATTTAAGTTGACAAATTAATATTTCGTGTCGAGAGTGTTTTGCGCCTTAATGTTCATGCAATTCTCTCCTTTTATTCTTTTTTGCCGTTTTACTTCCCCTTCTTTTTTTATTATTCAGTAAAAAATAAAGGAAGAAAGGATTGTGAAAAGGACATTCTTCCACTTTTTCCAGTCAGACCATTATTTATTTATTTTTCTTCTTTCAAAAATCCTCCCCCTTTTTATATACATACTTCATCACTTATGATAAAATCTTGAAAACAAATTTGTCAGATTTTTTTAAAATTTTATTTTTGACAAAATAAAGTGTTATGTATTTAATAATTTAAAAATTAGAATTATTTGGGTTATTTCCGTTAAATATTTATATATGCAGTTGTGTGGTCTTTAAAAAATAATTTAAATCTAGTGCTTACACTAATTCCCTATTTTCTGAAATTTAAAAATATTTTTGTAGAATATACTTTAATTTAAAAATTCAAAAGTTCGTTTTTAGTTAATACGCTTTTACATGTTTTTTGTTTAGGTTTTAGGCTAAAACATTATTTTTTTGTTTTTTTCTATTATCCGAGATTAAACCGCCCTGGGGTTTATTGCTCACTTCATAGAAATTTGAATAAAAATTTGAGTTTTTGAAGAATAACTGGTATGTATCCAATCTTCTAAGTTTCTCAAACTTTTTGTTCACCATATTCTATGTTATTTCCAATTTCAACTCTGAAAATGGTAAGGAAATGCACCGATTACCAATAAACCAAATCAAATTTTATATTTAATTACATTTTATTTTACCTTTTTTTCAAAATAAATTAATAAATTCTCTAGATTTTAATACATACTAAATTAGTAATAATTTTAATGAATTCACAAAAAAGAATAATAACAAACGCAACAAATTCCCCCCAAAAACAACGTATTATTCGATTCCGTCTTTCCAATGGTCGAAATATTGAATCTTTTGCTGAAGTTCTCCTAAGAGAGGAAAATTCACGTTTAGCTGAATGGGCTACCAAGCAAAATTTTGTTGACTGTTCCCACCGTGATCCAAAAATCTTTCGTTTACTAATCAACTGTCTAAGACAATGTGTTGCTCCAGGAGGAATTTCAAACGGGAAAAAATTCATTCCACCTGAAGACTTTACAGATTGGAGATCTTTATTATCTGAAGCTCGTTATTGGGGTTTATCTGTAGTTGAACGAATAATTAGAGATGCAATGAATGCTTCGTCTACAGCGGTTAGCACAATAACTATTGGATATCACGGTACATTGGCTGCTGGTAGAGGTGGATTTGAAGTGAATTTTCGAAGAGTTGATCGAATTATGAGTAAGTTCTAATTATTTTTCAACTCGAATAATTTCCACGATATATTTGAGTTTCCATTTACTCTGACACTTAGAGAGATGGGATCTATACGAGATCTCATTTATAATTTTAAATAAAAATTTTCAGAGATCTCGAGATTCTTTTCTCAAGCTCACTCTCTAACAGGAATATTCTCGACCAAAAAGTAAACTCCTGAATTTAACAAATTTCAAAAAATTCCAAACTTGGTCTTTAGATTTAAATTGAAGAAAATTTTTTTTGATTACAACGAGTATGATTGAGTTTCTGTTGGAGACGGCTTCTATTAGAGCATATATGTTAAATTGGAGCTGTACTCCAACATTGTCAAACCCGACCCCGAACACCGATACAAACCGACCCTGAACCAGGGCTGGCCGCAATTGATAAAAAATTTTCCGCAACCGCAATCTGCAAGTTAAAAAACTGCGGACAGCCCTGCCATGAATCCGACCATGACATAAGCAACCACTCAACTCTGAATGGTCGGGATCTAACAATACGTTAAATTTAATTAATTTTATATAACTATTTTTATAGTTTGTGGAAAAGCTCGTGCATGCCGTGAAGTATTTGGCCGGTTTTTAAACGAAACTCGTGATTGGAATATGGATAGTCAACGTTATACTAGCCGATTCTATTTAACCCATCAATTTGTAGAGCAAGCATTTGATGCTTTAGCAGCAAAACGTTATAAACTCGTTTCAAGTAATTGTTCCGGTCCAAGTCTTTCTCACGCCAAAAATGTGGTAGAAGATGAACCAAGTTTTGCTCATTATAGACAACATGTTTTTACTCGTTATATGTGAATTTTTTTGTTAATTTTAAAATTTTTCTGTAATCTTTATGAGTTATAAAAAATGTATGTTTTTAATTTTATAAATGTGTTTACTCAAAAGTGTGTTCTCGATTTAAGTAACAGTTCAAATCGTGTAAAGTTCTAGAACAGGAAACGGGGAAAATGTCGATTTCTTAGAACAAAGAAGAACCATTTTGAGCTGCGAATAATTGAGGAAGGGGGTGGAAGTACCCTAAACTAGACAAGTTCCTGAGCTACTCGAACCTTGAATAGTTAAAAATATCTAATCCACCATTCAAAATCTTAATAAAATATTTCATTTGCTTGTGCATTTAATTAAAAACATTTATTCATAATCAATTTCAGTAACATTATGTAAAATATAAAACAATAAATTTCTTATTCTAATTCCAACGGAAACATTTTATTTTTTATTGAGACGAAGCTTCAGAATCTTTTCAAGACCTAATAATTTTTTATTTGTTTTATTTAATAATTAAAAATACCTTCAATAAAAGCTACTTCCATTACTTCTTGAGTTGATTTTGTAATCTTTGTTGTTAATGACAATTCAGGATATGTAGGAGTGAAAATGGTCATTGACTTGTGTTGATTTATTTGCCCATTTTGGTTTTTGATTAAGAAAATAGGGTATTGCCAATTCCTTAAAATGTGAGTGATATGTTTTTTATGATCTCAACTCGAAATCTGTATATTAATTTCTTAATATCAGTAACTATCTCGTCCCATTATCGTAATATCTTAGTTTTCCTGCTCCTACTCTGTTCGGATTTTCGAACCTAAATGTGAAAATCGCGTTACCCCCAAATTGATATTTAATTTATTTCTTTAAAAATACTATGTACCGGGTGACAAAAAAGTCGCGATACCCCCAACTTAATATTTAATTTATTTCTTTTAAAATACCAAGTAGAATATGTAAAGAAAAATCTTTCCAACAATTCCAATAAATTAGCTCCAGGATATAACAAAATTACTTTTGTCAACATTAAAGAAATAGAATTTCCATCGAGAAATCCCTCTTGACTATTATAAATATTATTTTCTGAAATGTGAAAAAAATTTAATTTTCCAAATTTACAAAAAAAACCTTTTGCCCAATTTTTTAAATAAATAAATGACTGATTAAAAATATTTTTTTCTTTTTCATTTTTATTTTTTAATAAATTCTCCAAAAATTCAAAAGTTTTAAATAAAGAAAGGTTATAAAGAATTGAAGAATTTTGTTGTTTGTCAACAACCCCTTCTTTATTTAAATTTTTGTAAATTTTCCTCATTAAAGTTTCTATCCATTTTGTATCATTTGAGGGGACTTTCTGTTCTTCTTTATAAACAAAAAGAATTTCACATTCTGTCCCATTAATTTCTAAATAAATTTTATCGTCAGAAGAAGTAGAACGATGTACATTGTTGATTGTTCCATGAAGGCTTTTCTGGAAAATTAAATAGATAAATAGGTGCTCAAGTAACTGCTCAATAACAGGGATAGCTATTGGACAAGTTCTTGATCAGGGGTGTGCCGAAACATATATTAAAATGAAACATGAAAGATGAGAACCCAAAAAGTTGAAAATAGGACGAAAGATGAAACATGAAAGGCGAAAGCACACCCCTGTACTGGGCCTGCTCCAATCATTTCAAATCCTGACTCCTGCTTTGAAGCTGGCGATTTTCGGGGCTTATTTATGTTAGCTCCGGTCTCCTCACTTATAAATAATCCTCAGTCGGTAAAAAAGTAACTTCCAAGGGAGAATAACTATTAAGGCTGTCGAATCCTGATATCCGAAAATTTCTGTTCGGATAGCGGATCCATCTATCCGAGAACCTTATTAACCAGCACTGATTGATAGTTATTGTTCGTTTTTTCTATAATATTTTTTCGTGAAGCATTTGTTTTTACCTTGCAAATAAAACAGAAAAACGAATTTTCTGGACAATTATAAACAAATGGAGGTTCGCAAAACGTTGATGGTTCTCCATTAAATATTTGTTTAGCCTTTACTTTTTCCTCTTCTTCTCCTTCACCTTTTCCTCTCCCAACAGCAACAACAATTGCTTGGATATGTCCTCCTAATTTATTGAATGGACTGGCCATTAATAATACAAAATTGAAATTTTTTGTTAAATTTATCCATTTATCAAATAAAATTTTAAAAAATTCCATTGGATTTTTAATATTTTTTCTATTTGGAAAAAATCTTTGGTTAATTAATGAATTTAAATTAAATTCTTCGTTTAATAATTCCATTGGGTCGTTACTTTTTATATTTATTTTATTTTGTATTTCTTCATCATTATTTTCAATTAAAATATCCTCTTTTAAAGATAAAGGTTGAAAGCCATTCGGATTTATGTTTTCTTTGTTGGTATTGTCTTAAAAGAAAGTTTTTAATAATGTTGCACATCAGTGAGGAATGGAAATGGTGTTTCTAGACTCTAATTAGAATTTTGTTTAAAAATTTGCGGGCTCTCATTATACACTCTGTCAGAACTTAGTTTCTCTTGTATTTTCAATTGACATAACTGGATATGCTTACCGGAATTTTTGTAGATTTTTGGAACGGCCTCTAATGCCGAAATTGAGGGGGTGCTTATAATAATAAGCTTATAATTATCTGACAGTCGTTTTTAAGGAAACAACAGTTATATCCCATATTACCCATAAATAATTTCTATCTGATTGTTTTTTCTTTTTGAATATGAATTAGTAATTCGTAAAAATATACAAAATTATGATATTTTAAATTTAATCATGTTTTTTACTTAAAACTTGGGTGTGCTTATCATTTTCTGAAGAGTGTAGTACGTAAATTACTACATATGAAGGAACTCTCGATCTCAATTCTCTTACGATTTTCAAAAATTCCAAACCTAATTCAATTAATTCCTTCATTTGTTTAATTTCTTCAACTCTTTTCTGTACATTTAATATCAAAAAATCTTTTTCCTCATCTTCCTCCAAATTAAACATTTTATAGACAAAATGTCTCTGATTTAAGCCTAACATTCCCTCCCAAATTATTTGGGTTTCTTTTACAAAATAATTACAAATTTTTTGAAATTTTAATTTTTCTTTAATTTTTTCAATTATTTTAAAATTTCCAAAAATTTCTTTTTTATTCATTTCTTCAAAAATAATTTTTCCTTCAATTTCTATTAATATTTGAATTAATAAATATTCCAATTCTTTTTCTATTTTTTTATTTTCTTTATTTTTTAAAATTAATTTATTTTTTATTTTTTTCCATTTTTTTTCCAATTTATTAAAAATATTTATTTTTTCTTTTTCAAAATAAATATCAAAAATATTTTTATAAAAATTCTTTAATTTCTCCAAAAATTCAAAACGCTTTCCAATCTCATTTACATAAATTCCAACATCAACAAAACTTTGTGAGATTGCCTGTTTTTCTTTTTTAAATTCATTAAAAATTAAAAATAAATTTTTATCTTCAGTAAAGAACTCCAATTTGATGTTTTCTTCATGATTCTCGTCTTTTTCTTTTTTTGTTTTTTCCTTTTTAATTTCTGATATTTTATCATCCCCTTTTGTTATTGTTTTTTTCTTCTCCTTAAAATCAAAATATAATCAGTGCTGGGTATGGCTCGGGAGCTGGCTCAGCTAAGATTTTAAAAGCCGGATCCGGACACAAGACTTAAAACCTCGGAACTCGGAGCCAACAAATGCCAAATACCCAGCACTGAATATAATTTTTTGGATATATTATAATTAATTTAAACCTTCAAATCTGTATTTATTTGTGGAATTATTTCAACTTTTTTATCTGCTTGATCAGTATTCGTTCCAATTACCTTAATTTAATTTTAATTATACCTGAATGGCTCTTATTTTCCACTTAAAAAAGAATTTCAAATATCCTATCTACATATATAGTAAATTAGCTCGATTAGGAACTCTATGTACATAGAAGACAGTTTATAATTATCGTAGGCAGGAATGTCTAGACTTGCTGATTACTGAACTTTTGTGATTTCATATACTTTCAAACAGAGATTTAGGCTGCATGATATTTTTATATTATAATTCCATTAGTAAACATTAAAAAACCTCTTTATCATCTTTGGGGTTTTCAGAAATTTTAGATTTAAATTTTCTTTCAGTTTCTTTTTTCTTCTCTTTCGCCTTTCCCTTGCTTTTTTCATTTTTATTTTGTATTTCTATTATTTTTGCCAAATTCATTAGTAATTTTTTAATATTTTCCTTATTGATAAAAATTGTTAATTTGTCCTCTAATACTTTCTGGCTATTATTTCCAAATACTAAAATTTCAGTAATTATATTTTCAAAATAAAGATGCTTGAATGGCCCCTTCCTAAGCTTGTTTATGACCTAAGTGTAAGGATGTAGTTGATTACTGATTCTGATTATAATTATGGCGTTCTTATCATTTAAAGATATCTTTAACCGACCGCCCCTACCCCTTCTCCATCACATTCTCCAACACCCCCCCCCCCCTCTTCAACACCTACACCCTCCTCCAGCACCTTAAAATAAAATCAAATAAATACCAACATTTTATCAGAACTGCAAGTAAATTACTTTTATTATCTTCTACCAAATTTTTTATCATTTCATAATGTCTGTCTCTTAGCCATTCCTCAAATGTCTCGCTTATGTTTTTGTTTGCTTTGTAATATTCTGCTCTCTCGATTACGCCCCATTCAGCAAGGATTACATTTATATCAGGAACTAGCTAAAATATTTTATGTAAATATTTTACAAATAATTTATAAAAATTTCATTCCTTCTAAGATAATTCCCTCCACTCTTAAAACACCCTCCTCATTCACAAAATTTAATAAATAACCTTTTCTTTCATTAAACGTTCAATCATTAATTTCAACAATTCAAGCTTGCATAATAATTCAATTTTTGTCTCCTCAAATCTAAACTCCTCAATCCAAAGCAATTTAAGATAATGAACTAAATGATTGTATCTTTGAGCATTCCAAACTGCCAAAATATTC